CAGGATGTCCAGCATACCTCTCAACATATCTCATCCTGTTCTATCACTGAAACATTGGATTACCAGGAAACCACTAGTCTCTCTTCCCAGTCAATCAGGTGTAGTTGTATCAATAATAATAATAATATTCTGCTTTTATTTAGCGCGTAATACAATGTCTCTATGCACTTCACAGATATACATGTACAATTATCCCAGTTATTGGATTCAGTGCTTGTTCGCACACACTGTGTGCACAATCTCCAGTCCCTGGGGAGCATTCCAGCCAGGCGTTACTTGACGCTCAAAAACTGTTTGACCAACAATGATGGTCACATCGTACCCGGCCATTTAACACCTGGGTGGAGAGTAGCAAGTGCAGGTTAATACCTTGCCAAAGGATATTAGTGTTGTGTCGGGATTCGAACCCCTGACCTTCACATTTCCAGTCAATTAAGCGTCTTAAACCACTGGGCCACGACAATCCCACAGTCCCACACTTCTACTATTCATCTCTAGAAATAGGCAACAAAAATTCTCCACATCTTTTATTTGAGATTGAGCAGTATACACTATGAACATGACAGACAATGAAAGCGGACAAAATATACAGTTCCTCAGGTAGACAAAGGAACGTCCCTTCACTGCTATTATGTAAAAATGTGTAGAACAGGTGAATATGCATGTGACACCTGTTCTACACATTTTTACATAATAGCAGTGAAGGGATGTCCATTTGTCTACCTGAGAAACTGTATATTTTGTCCGCTTTCATTGTCTGTCATGTTCATAGTGATAGGGCCTACATGTATGTAATTTGAAGAATATCTTTGACAGTTTACTTTGAGTCTCTGTCTTTCTACGTTAGTCTCTCTTAATTCCCGGTCAATCATCTTTTAAATTTTAAAAGTTGTATTCTACTATTCATCTTTAGAAAATAGAAATAAGCAGCAAAATTCTCCACGTCTTATATTCGAGATTGAGCAGTTGGGCCTATATAAAGAAGAATAGACGGTTTACTTTCATTTTCTGTCTTTCTGTATGTATTCTTAAAATATTTCCTTCATGGATTCATAATACAGTGTGTACCAGTATCCTTTAGAAGCTACAGGAAAGTAGCCTGGTCTAAAACTGAGGGGGAAAAAAAAAGGTGAAATCCCTTATTGGAGTAGCGGGCAGAGGATGCGCACACCGGGTAATGAATAGCGACAAGCTGATCTTTTGATGCATGAGTTGTACGTGCCATCAAGTCGCAGCTTTATACATACTCAGAAAGATGTTTAGGTGAAAAGCCCACGTTATTTACAGGTTGTTTATCCAACCCAAGCTGGTAACTTGGTTTGTCATTACAAGGGACATTCACACTACCATCCAAAAATTGTGATTTTAATAGTGGCTTAAAGATAAAGTTGAGCTCTGGTCATGAGATTAAATTGTGAAAGAAAAGGTGTTGAATGGATCAGACACAGTCGATCATGTTGCATGTAAGTATTGGTGTGTATTGCAAGGTTCTGGAGTCATCAAAATGATAAGAAATTTGGCCCAGTCTTGGTAAAGTTACAAGCACTGTACACAGAAAGATGTATATGGAACGACAGGATATCTATCCAGTCTGGATAGATATAATAATTTACCAAATATATCAATTAGTAGGCAGTTTCCCGGAAAAATTTGTATCATCACGTATTAGTCAAAACATATTCTTTCACATGATTGGTAATAAGAGCTTCCATTTCATTTTTAAGAGGGGGGGGGGGGGCGTTTCCAAAACTGGTCTTTATCTTTAATAGTGGCATAGTTTTATGATTGAAGTAATAAACAAATTAATGGTGTAGTTACTTTTACAACATCCACTGATATCAGTAAAGCTATGAACAGGTTGTAATGTTTTCATTACAAGGTCATTCACACTATAGTTTTGAGCTTTGCAATTTTATTATTAAACATCGCGATCTAGAAGTGTTCATGTTGCCTGTGCAGCATCTAATGAAACAGTCATACAAATGTTACATGTAAGTTCAAATTTGTTGGTATTCCCTTGAATTGTACATGTGCTGTGCAGCATCTTAGTGGGATGTTGGTGGACTTGCGATAATTGCAATGTTTCTAAAATTGCAATGTTTGGAGCATAGTGAAAGTGAACCCCACAGTTTCAAGGCATGCTGCGTAGAGAACTTGCACCATAACATTGTGCTGTTTCTAAAATCACAATGTTTGGAGCATAGTGTAGAAACATCGCAATGTTTGGAGTGCAGTGTAAATGGACCCCACTGTTAATGTACACAAGATTCTGAAAGAGGAGCAGGTTGCAAAGAAAAAAATGAAGTATTAAAAATAGGAGTACTTGTTCATTGACATTTCTAGTTTGTCATTAGGCATTGACGAGTTATTGCAATGTGTATGCAGTCGGACACTACGATGACTGTATACAAACAATTATTATGATCTTTTGGTCACCATGAAATTCAACAAATCATAAACCATTTGTATACACTGCATCATGTGCTATCATAAACGGTTCTGAATTCATTTGTTAGTGTAAAAATGATTCGGTAGAATTTATTACCACGAAAATAGAATTATACAATGGTGCCTTTTATAAACAAAGCTCCCCTGGGTCAAACAAATTGTATATGATTCCATGCTAGGAGATGAGTACCGTATGGACTTTTGAGTAAAGCTGTAGGCTATGCATGTCATTTAGATGACTCACACACATAAATATAATTTAATACATTTATAAAAATGATAATCACAATTTTCCATTATTGGGTTAGGAAGGGCAGGAAGGGTGGGAGAGAAGAAGCCCTGAAATGGTAATTATCTTGATGAATTCATGATTGATGTCTATATGCTTGCGATTGCTGTCAATCAATTGTAATTCCATTTATTCATTAGCTTTGTATGAGGTCCCTCATGTAAAGTGAATTCCAGGACAATACCCCTTGATCGAGTGGCCACTCACAATAGTATTTTTTGCTTAGGATTTCTATAAAAATTGATATTATCTAGTGATTATGCAATGTAAAAACAAATTGTGTATGTTCAATGGTAGGGCGTGGGTATTTTCTTTTAATTTGTGATGTAGCTAGCTATGTATAGTGAGGTGGCAAAACTAGTAAAACCAAAACTAAAACTAAAAAACAACCAAACAATTTCCCTTGGCTTTATTTAGTGGGGAAGGGCAGTATTACTATGGACAGGAGAGAAAAAATAGAAAAAAATATGCCCTGAAATGGCAATTATCCTAACAAATACATGCTTAATGTCTGCATGCTTGCAATTGCTGTCAATCAATTGTAAATCCATTAGCTCATTAACGAGGCCCATCATGTAAAGGTATCAGAGGACAATACCCTTTGAGTTGCCTTTCAGAGTAATTACGTTCTCTTTGACTTTCCATATACATAATCAATAGCTAAACATACCTTGCGGGCGGTTATAAACAAAGCAATCCTTAGGATGTAGGGCCTTACATGTATACACTGCTCTACAAAGATTTATGATTTCGGTTGTGTTTATATGATTATGATATGCCATATATATACATGTATGTATGGGGATAATATAAATATTTACAACATATCTGTCCTGTTTCTTTCCTTTTCTATTACTATTGTGTAGTTCCTCCAAAGAGTGACAAAAATTGTCTTTTACAAAAAGCTTTTTATTCAAAAAATAGATGGTTCTGAAACTTGTTTTCCTCATATATAGACCTATGAGTCATGTTCTAGTTTCTCTTTTCTGCATCCCTTTATTGTATAGCTTTGGTAATTAGTTTTTAATTAATTTGTTTGCACATACCGCACCTCAACCAAATGTCCTAAAATGCTGATCACTACTTCAATAAAAAACTTCAGTTGAGAGTTTTGAAGAGTACGAATTTACAAATAGTAAACAAACAAAAAAGAGAAAGGCGTGAATATTCTCAAAAAGAATTAAACGCCTATAATACCAAAAAAAAAATCTACTTGTAGATAAACTATAGGTCCTAAAATAACAGCATGAGGAATGGACATTTCTGCATTGGAAGTGTGTCGCGTGTGGTTGTAAGTTTTGTTTTAATGAATTTAATGTTTTTGCTGGAAATGCCTTTTTTGGGGGCCATCATGGTTTCATTTTTTAGTTGCACAAGGTTGGCAGCTCTGCGTTCTAGGAAAACAAACAGGAAAGGGTGATGTTTCCTCGCATATAGATGTGTATACATTCACATTTGTAGGTCCGTATTGTCATGGTGCTAGAGCTTATAGTGCAGTCCGAACATTTTTGAGTTATCTCTATTTCTTTAGTTTGTTTATCTCTTTATCTCTTTAGTTTGTTTTTTGTGTCATTCTTTGAAGTCACTTTTAACAGTGTAAACATTCCTTGCCACACATTACATCGTTTGTTTGTTTTTTGTTTGTTTTTGTTGTTGTTTTACCTAATTGATTTTATGGCAGAGTCTGTAACATTATAGGCCTAGCCCTACACAACATGTAGATGCCTGAACCAAACAAAATGTAGATGCCTGAACCAAACAAAATATAGATGCCTGAACCAAATGAAATATAGATGCCTGAACCAAATGAAATATGACCATGGCTGTCTGATGTGAACAATACACATGTACTCAGATGTCATTAGCTGGATGAATGCTTCTGAAAGAGCGAATAAATAAATATTAAATTGCATTATAGTTCACCCTGGAGTATATTCAATCTTTTTGAGTGGGTGGGTTTTGTCATAAGTGTATACATTTGTAGTAGGCTCGCATAATGTACATCCTATGGTTTACTCTCATATTCACTCCAATCTAAACCATAGTTAATTAATAGATAGTACATTACATGGAGATGTGTGCACATTTGTATGTTTATGTTAATTCCTTAATTAGCTATGACTAGTATGAGTAAATTACAGAATGTACTTATTTGCAGCTCACAAAACTACTATATGACAACATGCCATCATTGCAAGAAAACCAGACACATACATAATCATTTTTTCCATAATTCTTTCTTGAATATTTCATACAATCTTACCGGATATCATACAGTGTGGCATTGCTCATGGTATAAACATGCACATCTGCCCAGCTCAGTCCTAATCAATGATGGGAGCATTTCTTTTTGATCTGCAGCCGTTAACTTGGCGAGGTATATGTACATTTATCCCAGCATGAGGAAATGCAGTATAACTGTACTTGTTCCACCTCAACAGTTTGGGTACAGTGTCCTTGTAGTGACATTATACACTGCTTATTCCATTTGAAGAAACATTTGTCTGATTTAGGAACCAATGCTTGGTGCTCATACCGTGTACATACAAAAGGTCGATGACCTCTGATCTGCGGTCAAAAAGTGGCGGTCAGTTCCCGGCTGGTGGTAATTCCACAGTATATGTCCTTAGCTACATTATGAAAGCATCGGGAGATCTCGTCTAAAAGACACTAACATGCATCACCAGATGAAGTTGAATTGAGGAGAGGTGCACCAGTGTTAAACACTATCTTTGTTGGTGAATGTAAGGCTTAATTAGTTCGATAGTAAACAGTTGCGCCAAGAGGAATGTGAATTGCTTTAACAGCGCTGTCGCTACATCTTCCAAATCTCCTTTTTGGATCGAGAACGAGCTCGCTCAACACAGCTGTCACCAGTTGAGTGAGATCAGTTAGCTTCCATCAACATCTTTCCTTCCGCTCTCCATCAGTATGGAGCTTGTAGAATCCAAACTATTCTGCTACGCCCACGATATCCAACTGAGCTGGTCTCATCAGCATCCTCATCATCCACATGGTGTGCCGACGACTATGATCCTCTTTCTATGCGATGAAAGGAGATGCTAGCTGGCAAGAGTTGAACCGCATCACCCCGTTACCACGGTGCCACATCCATATAATCCAATCAGCAGAGGTAATGCTCTCACCCTGCAGGAGCCCCAATGTGTCCCTCAAGTTTCCTGGCGTTACAAAAAATAGAAAAATCCTCTTTCATACTCAATTTGACAATTTGCCCTCTATGCTGCCGCCGTCACCTGTGGTATTTCAATTCCATATGTCTGGATGGTGAGGGGTGGAAGACATGTTGATCGTCTAGCGTGCAGTGTTCCCATGCCTCCCTAGCTCTCCTCTCGCTCTTAAAGACATACACACACAGTTTATCTTTCAGTAGAGTTGTATGCTGAGGCATTGACTTGTAACGCTCACTCCCTGTGAATGCGCCGGCCCTTCGTCTGAGTGTGAATCGGTTTGCTTGCTTGCTTGGCTGCATGAAAGCAACGTGGAATTTGTTCCCAAGCCTTACCAATCCTTAGTCTCTTGCATCAGCCTTCATAAAGACTTCAACAAATGCTCTATCTTCTATATATGGAGCTACCATCCCATTATTTGCTTTATTTACAATTTAGAACATGACGACAATTCGCCAATTGCTATGTATTACATATACCTGTTGAACATTTCTATTGATCCATTCATAATGATTCCAAAGTCTGAACTCAGCATGAAATCAAAAGGTTATGTTTACATTGCATTGTGATCGAGGTCAAGGTACAATAATTATTCCAAAAGATATTTTTCTCTATTCACTTTTCCAATACACTGTACATGTACACACAGAATTAGTCTTACCTAGCAACCTGTTCAATAACAACAGATACCTTCCAGTAGATTATCCTTAAATATTATTATACTATCTCTATCTCTCTCACTCACTCATCGCTCTCCTTTCTCGTTCTATATCTCTCTTTCTCTCATTCGCTCATCGTTCTCTCTCTTTCTCTCTACCCCTCTCTCTCTCTCTCCCTTTCTCTCATTCGCTCATCGTTCTCTCTCTCCTTCTCTCTACCTTTATTTCTTTCTCTCTCTCTACCTCTATTTCTCTCTCTCTCTCTCTCTCTGTTTCCATCTTTCTCTCATTCGTTCATGGTTCTCTCTACCTCTATTTCTCTCTCTCTCTCTCTCTCTCTCTCTTTCCCTCTTTTTCTCTTTCTCACATTCGCTCATCGTTCTCCCTCTTTCTCTCTACCTCTATTTCTCTCTCTTCTCTTCTCTTCTCCCTCATTCAGTGTTGCATAACAACATCCCTAGAATAATTATCTTATATACTGACTTGTGAACTATGTTAAATACTTTCAAATTGTTAAAGATTGATGATTATTTTTGTAAGTTTCAAATGCGATTTTACTTCGATTTTATTGTGAATCGATATATATGCAATTCAGCTTTCGGGCTGCTTCAGCTGTATGTATCGTTGTTAATAAAAAACACTTTTGTTACGATTCGAAATACCTAATATATATCAATCTGCTCAGACAAAAAGTTTGAATGAAAGACTAGCTAGATTACCCTCAATGCTGTTAGACAGAAAGATGTGAGAAACCTATTATGTTGTGAATATGGAAAGGTGTGGATTTTCCCTTTCTTTTTGTTGTGAATGAGAACCTAGATAAATCAATAGGTGTATGTAGAGTTCATGATTGTTCGTCTATTCTAACAATTTGTCCTTGTCAACGATATGGTGTTTATTCATTTCCTGTTCCTGTCGGAGTGTTGTATTCAATCTTGATCTTGCTGTTTTATGAAAATTGATGAGAGTATAGACATTTAGATCAAATTGCACTTCAAACGAAAACTGGCAACTTTCCCTTTTGTATAACCTGTTCAGTATGTTTTTAGAATTGTTACCATTATATGTAGTACCGGTATTTGCAATACAAAGCAAAACCTACCATTAGTTATATTATATATCTATAAGATGCCAAAGCATGATATACTGTATACCACAAATTACTAATATGAATCTGAAGGGGTAATTTAAAGGTATTACAAAGTTTTGGGAAATTTTGAAAAATGGGTGGATAGTGATTCTTTACAATTTTGATATATTTGGATGCTCCTGTGGATGTATTAAAAACACCAGAAATTTTAGCCCCTAAAACACTTCTGCTTTCGAGAAAAATTGAATATAAAGATTTACGGTGCTCCCGGTAAATTTTGATAAATTTCACATAGCTCCTACGTCCGTATAATGGTAGCTGCGACCATGAAAATCTCAGAGTATGTAGTTATGGTATATAATTTCCGAACGAGAATAGCTAATTGGTCGATTTTAGTCAATAAACATTGTTTTATAGCTTAATTAATATCTTGACCTTGAGGGGGAGCTATTCAACATAAAATGTTTATTATTTACAATTTCATTACTTTAGAGTCGATTTCGACCGCGTCAACGATCACTGAATATTGTAGGATCGTACATGTACACGTTCCAATATGTTCATTTGAACCAAATTCATGACCCCATACCAAAACTTTGTATTACCTTTAAGGTACAGTGTATTATTAATCCAAAAGCCTTAAAAAAAATTAAAAAAATCAAGCATGTTGACTTTACCCTTGCCCCTCAGCTTGTATGAATAATTTGTTTTCTCAATATATTGTTTCATTTTAAAGCTCATTTCAAAGCTCATGCCATTTTGTGAATTTGCATGTATTAAGTGAGTTAATATTTTGTGTAAACACTTCTTATTTACCTATGCTCAGTGATTGTACACAAGTCACGACATGGCTCTACATATGATTCATTGACTTAAACATATGTGCATACTTTATTTTCTTTCTGTGTCAGGCACCCATCACCCATCTCTCTTTCTCTCTCTCAATCTCGTTCTTCCTCTCTGTTTGTCTCTCTCAATCTCTGTCTTTTTTTCTAACCTCTTCTGGTCTTTTATTCTCTGTCTCTCTTGTTTTGATTTGACTGGCTTTAAGTTAAATTTTTCTGTTACTTTTTAAATCCTTATTCCTCCCATCTCTTTATATATCCTATATTTTCTTTCTCTCTGAAAACATAATTCCACTTTTTTTTGTGGTACATTATAAATTCATACTCAAATATTTTTTTTAAATCTTGGTAATTACATCATTTGAAGATGTGTCACTGCAAACCTACAAACAGTTCACTCAAATAGAGTCAAATTACAAGAAAGCAAATTTATTGAATATATAAGAAATTTTAAAAATGAGTAATTCCTTACCTGAATTAAAGCAGTTGTCAAAGTCTCTTTTATCAGACAAGCTTCACAAAGCTCGATTCAATTTTTCAAGAAAATTATGCAGATTGGAAATTCGGTCTATAAACTGTTTTACACCCGGAAGATCTCAGCCTTTGCTCAAACATTTATGAATCACTTATCAAAGATTCTGAGATGTGTAATCAAAATGTTTCCCTAGTTTTGTCAAAATTGTTCCACTTATACCAAATGAGGAAGTACAGTGAGCATACCTCTCCCGCAACAATTTATGATCAATATATGAGAGGTGGACTCGCAAAAATCTCTTCTTTCATATTATGTTCATATTTTTTTAATGCCATGCAGGACGAAGGATGATATTTAGCCCCATGTTTATACCAGCATACATGTATCTTGCCGTCGTTTATACCAGCTCAGAGGTGTTTTGTTACACAATTCTTCCCTCTGATTGATGTGAACTTGTTCATGACCAGGGGATAGGAAGATGAATAGGCCTGTCTTCATCAGCTCCAGTTTACCAAATTACCCGCCATTTTAACTACCCCGATCGCAAATTAGCCAGTTAATTTGCGTCTTCATCAGCCTTCAGATGCAATTAGCGGGATATTTGGTCGAGAAAATATCCTGAGAAATCTTGGTCTTGTTTCCAAAATATCCCACTATTTGGGAAATGGCGGGCTAATTTGCGCCCGTCCGAGTTAGTTTGTAAAATAGCGTATCGGTCTGGTGAAGACGCAATTTCGAGCTTGAGAATAATATCCCGAGTCTGAAAATAGCGGGTTATTTGGCAAACTCGAGCTGATGAAGACAGGCCTATATTTTGTGTTGGTTGCTAGATTTACACCATATTGTGTCAGTGTGTGATTATAGTATTGATTTTCTGTAGAATCTGGTGCATGATATTGATCTTTTACAATTTTTACCTTCAATTTGATATTCTATTGGTTATGTTTTAAATAGATATATATATATATTTTTTTTTTTCTTTCTTTTTTGATTAAATATTTTTTTTATAGTTTTTTTTATTGTTGTTTTTTTTAAATAGTTTTTTAAACACGATAAATATTATACCCATTCTCTTATTCCTGTCTTGTGTTTTTTTTTTTTATTCTTATGTTTACCTTGATGTTTTTTGTGTTATGTTATCGGTTTTACAGTTTTACTAGTATGCTTGTTGTCGTCCTAGTTGAATATCTGCAATCAACTGTCTTATTGCTTGTTTGTTTTGTACTTTAATCTGTTAGATATTTATTTGTTTGACTATACATGTACATATTCATTGCCTTACTTCTTGCATTTGCAACGTTTTACATATTTGTATAATTCACTGTATATTTATTGTTATTTTTATGTTTGTGGACCCCTTTGAAAATCAGCTGTGCTGAAAGGGCCATCCACCCTATGAGAGGAAATGAATAAATAAATAAAAAAATCTGGAATTATAATTCAGTGTGTGCTATAGGCAGGATGCTACTGTTCTACACTAAACTCCCTGGGCTCATAGGTGCCCCAAATCTAAGTAATATAGAAATAAATGAATACATAAATAAATAAATGTTATTACTAAAGAAAAAATGAAAGTCAGTCAGTCACTCAGTGTCTGACAGTAAAGTCTAAATATTAAACAGGTTTCCTTGCAAAATTTGAATACTAGGACACTGCTAACATTTAAATTTCACAGATAGGACACACTGTACATGTATGTGACAAACCGGTATTCATAATTCCTGCAAAGTTCTACAGAATTTGATGTCGGCTGCAAATGGGACATACATGTAGTACCTTTAATAGGCCTTTAAGCATTTCACAGAAATATTGTTATATATCACACCTGCTTATGATGGGGATATAGTCACACAACAGCACAAGGCCCTTTTTCTAAAGACTAGTTGTAATTATCAAACAATGCATGAGTAATGAGCAATTTATTAACTCAATTACAGCTTCATTAAAGTATATGAACCATAACTTATCTAGGCCGTGTAATAAAGGGTTTCAGGTTAAAAATATAATTCAACAAATTGGGGATCCAATTTTGTTACTATGGAACTCTGCCAATGTTCTGTTGTGTTGTTTCCTTTTTTATTTTTCTATGCACTGTATTTCATACAAAGGTGAAGATACTACTTTCAAATTCATTTCATAGCTCTGTAAATATATAGCTATACAAAAACTCTATACTAGTATTAATTACTATTTATTACTAATGATGTTTATCAGCTGATAAACCTCATTAGTAATGTGATGAACCATGCAGAAATAAATGAATAAGTGAATTTAAACAACCTGTATCACTATGCAATAAGCAACTTAACTCTTTTTAGCATGAATGATCATCATAAGTGAGCATTTAGTATGGATCTCAAGAAAAGAATTGGGGTCCTGCCTAGTCACCCTAGCTGTAGATGGGGATAATCATTTTCCTGTTATCAGGGGGAGGTGGTAGTCTTTCCAAACTGCAAAGTGTGGCATCTAGAATGATATAAGGCAAAGTTATATAATCAAAGTTTGACAATTCATGAACTGACTAGAAATTGCTCTGCTTTAAATTTCCTGGACTAACAGAATTGTAAACTCCATCCCTGGACCAAACATTAACCCTATCCTTAATGTAAATACAAAAATTACAGCCCTATCCATTTTGGTAAGTTAAAAAGCG